GGTTCAGAGAAAAACGATTTGAATTCGTGTCGTTTTGATCTTGAATTGGGGATACGGCTAAGGTTAGAGTTTCTATGTCATTTATGTTCTCCCCTCTCTGGGATTGAAATATTGAAGCTCCGTTGCTTGTTTACAAAATACCAAAAAAAGAAAAAAAAAATAGCGATAAATTTTAGTTTTGTTCTTTGTATGAGATAAAATAAGGTTTCGAATTTGATGGACGAGATCTGGGAGCGAGCCGTTGAGACAGCGCTAGAGGGCCAGAGCGACCACGCCGCGGCTCGAGCCCTAACCCTAGACGGCGCCGTTAAGTGCGTCCAGGGTCGTCTACCTCCTCCGAGCCTTCTAGAGAAGTTTCAGAACCTTCAGCATCTCTCGATTGCAAACGTGGGCGTTTCGTCCCTGGAGCAGTTCCCGAGGCTCCGAAATCTCCAGAAGCTAATCCTCTCGGATAATCGAATCGCTGGAGGCCTTGAATTTCTCGTAGAAGCCGGTCTCGACTCGCTGAGAGACCTTGACCTCTCGAACAATCGGATTCAGCATGTCGAAGATCTCGCGCCGCTCGCGCAGCTCAAGCTGGTGTCCCTTGATCTGTATGAGTGTCCGGTCACTCACGTCAAGGATTATCGATCTAGGGTGTTTGGATTGATCAAGTCGTTGAAGTATTTGGATAAGATGGACGCGGAGGAGAACGAGAGGCCGGAATCTGATGACGAGGAGGACGACGAAGATGACGAGGAGGATGATCCTGGTAGCGGTGAAATCGATGGTGAGGATCGGCCATTTAGGATGACCAATGGCCACAGTGAGGCGGTTGAAGGTGTTGTTGATGTTGATGAGGATGACGAGAGTGATGCAGACGAGGAAGAGACTGTGACTGCGACGAGGGTGAATGGACAAAATCACCAGACAGCAAATGGATTCCGGGTTGCTGCTGTGGCTGGTGAAGAGGGAGATGAGGATGAGGAGGGAGACGATGATGAAGAGAATGATTCTGGTGAAGAAATTGATGAAGAGGATGTTGATGACGACGATGTGGTGGAGGTTCAAGAGATTGAGGATAGTGACGATGAGGAAGATGGGGTTGAGTATGATGAGGAGGATGATGACGACGATGATGAAGATGACGAGGAAGAGGAGGTGGACAATGATGAAGGGGATCTTGCAGAGCCGGAGAGTACAGGGAGGTTGACGAGCACGGAAGGAGAGATTGATGGACATGAACAAGGGGAGGATGATGCAGATGAGGATGATAATGGAGAGACCGGGGAGGAAGAGCAGTTAGTAGAAGAGGATGGGGAATTTGAAGATGAAGATGGTGAGGAAGAGGTGAGGAGTCCCTTGCAAGAACATTTTTTATATACTAATATTTGGTTGTCTGCATAAATATTTATTGTTTGCTATAATATTATTTGCTTATTATTTTGTAGCAGTGTTTAACTGTTTATGGCTGATGTTCTTTTAGATCACTGGAGAGGAGAGACATGGCTGCTGTTGGTTTTCTGCATATGGGTCGAAATTGGTTTTCTGCATATGTCTTTGTGTATATGTTGATTGGTTGTATAGGTTTAGGAGGATGATTCTTTGGAGTGTCTTCTGCAGTACTGTGAAATAATGTTTGTGCTTTTCCATGGTTTCATGTGGTGTATAGTATGTCTCAAAAAATTTGAACAATTATAGGTTAAGGTTGTTGAACCTTGTTCTTAGCTAATTGTTTTAGTTTCGTAGTTTTGGAAGCTTTTTGAAAATCAGATTTCTGTTTTTGTAACAGTTGTGTAGTGATAAGGTAAATGTTAGAATATGCCTTTTAAAACCCCGAATTTTTATTCTATTTTGTTGCTAGACCTTTTTGTTGTTATTGTTGTCGTTAGAAAACTTTTATTTGATGCCTTTTTCTGATGTATCTTGTAATTACCAGTGTTGCTGGAATGTGTATTATTTGCTGTTGACTCTTCAGTGTTTATATCTTTGTGGGAAAAGAAATTGGAGGTGTCACGAAAAAATTTGAAGGTCCTTTTTTTCTGATTGCTGTTATCTAGTACCTGAATTTGTTGATTTGATTGTCAATTGCCTTCTTATCTCAGATTACATGATTTAGAGTGTTCTTGAAAGATTTTCTGTGAGTGCGCTTAACTTCAAGCTTTTTCCTGTAATATTTGGCGCTCATGGTTCTTAAAAGTAGTATTCTTATAGGCTGGCACTTTCCTGTGAAAGACTGGTTGGTTGTCCAAGGGTGGCGGATTGTTGGTCTTTGATAAAGTGGCTGTTTATTCGAAGCAGTGTCTGTTTTTAGTGTGTTATAAATCAAAGTTGCACTTTTTTTTAATCGTGCTGCAATTGTATGATGATTTGTTTCCTATCAATTTGGCTGTTTTTTCATTACTATTACTATCATTATTATTGATTTTATCATGATTACTTAAATTTGTCAACTTACGGAAACATGATTGAATGGCAGGAAGAGGACTATGGTGCAGGTTACTTAGTTCAACCCGTGGCGCAGGCTGAGGAAGAGGATGCTGGTGGCAGTGACATGGATGCAGGAAATGAAGAAGGTGATGGCGAAGAGGAGGAAGTTGAAGACGATGAAGATGATGAAGTTCAGGTGTTGCCACCCCCTTCTTCTTCGTCTTCTTCTCAAATGAAGAGGAAGAGAGATGAAGCTGCAGATTCGGATGACAATGGTGAGGACGATGAGGAGGACGACGATGTTGTTGAGTACAGCAAGTCTTCAAAGAAGCATCGTTGACAGTCAGTAAATCTGTCGATGTTTATGTTTTGTTGATGCTGCCCTTTTTCTAGTTTGGAAAACAGAGAACCTCAGATTAGATTAGATTGGTTGGTAGAACTGTTAGTGATTTTCCCTGATCTTGGACAAGCATATATATATATAATGTTTTAAGGAAAAAGAAGGGGTTTGGATGCAATGTTTTTCAAGTTCAAAAAGTCGTTAGTAATTTATCCCCACTTGGATCTCTCACATAGCCGTTGCTGTATGTTATTCAAATGACAGTTATGCGCGGCTGTAGTTGGGGAAGAGTCAGTTTCAAAAGGGGGTGAGAGCATGTGGAGGGAAAAAGAAACTTGAAAATTGTCGTTGTTTTTGGCTTCAGTTTTTTGTCCAACCAGTTTTTTTGGGAAAAAATGGGGGCATGTAAAAACTCTTGTAGATAGTTCAATTCAGTCAAGTTTGGCTTCGAGTCTTATTTGCTCTGCTTTTTTATGTTATTCAGCAGGTGACGTGTAAATTCTGTTTATCTTTATATTATTGGGTGTCTAATATACCAGGTGGCAGTGATCGTGGGGTAAATGGTGCCCATGTGACATGGGACCTAAGGCGTCGGTCTCTGATAGAAGAGTGCAACAAAAGATGGTAGATTTGGTTATAGAGGATTTGTACCCTAGTGTTGCCTACTAGTGAAGGACTTGGTTTCAATTGGACAGTTTTAAATAAGCATTCATTACAAAATAAAGTATGTTTTATTTGCATGCATGAGCTAACTCGCTTTGAAGCTCAAGCTCAACTTGTGCATGCATGAGCTAACTCGCTTTGAAGCTCAAGCTCAACTTGTGCATGCATGAGCTAACTCGCTTTGAAGCTCAAGCTCAACTTGTGCATGCATGAGCTAACTCGCTTTGAAGCTCAAGCTCAACTTGTAGACGGCTTTACCGTCAAAAGCAGCTCCGCTGAGCCAAAAGTTCAAGCATTTCCTTACCTGCGGCTCCCATTTCACGCTAGCTTTTGGTGCGCTGAAACAAGCTAGTAATTACATAGAAGAATTTTTTTTTCTCTCTTTTTTCTTTTCTTTTGGCCATAGAAAAGAAAAGAGTGGTTGACGGAGACACTTTTATGATAATAAAATAATCAAATTGGTTGGTCTTAAATTGAATTGACCCTATGGTGCTCAAGTGTAAATACATCAAACTGGTTCCAACGTGTGAATTCAGCAAACTAGAAACAAACTCTCTCTCTCTCTCTCTCTCTCTCTCTCGCTCTCGCTCTCTCTCTCAACGATGCTGCTAGTTTCTCCAGCATCCACCTCCCTATTATCAAACCCACTTCAAAGCTTCCATGCCACATACAAAACAACAACCAGATTGCAAGCCCCAGCCAAGGTCTTAGCCATGGCAAAGCAAACCAGCGACGACAGCAGCAGCAGCACCATTGCAGAGAAAGCAGCCATAGCAGGAGGCCTAGTCTCCACCCCCGTGATTGGCTGGTCACTCTACACCCTCAAAACAACCGGCTGCGGCCTGCCTCCCGGACCCGGTGGTTCCATCGGTGCCCTTGAAGGCGTGAGCTATTTGGCTGTCCTGGGAATTGTAGGGTGGTCCTTGTACACTAAGACCAAAACTGGCTCTGGCCTCCCTAATGGCCCTTTTGGCCTTTTGGGTGCTGTTGAAGGTCTCTCTTACTTGTCTTTGCTCTCCATTTTGGTGGTGTTTGGGCTCCAGTTTTTTCAGCAGGGCTCCATTCCAGGACCCCTCCCCAGTGACCAGTGCTTTGGATGATGTGGGATTATTGGCCACCACAATTCTATCTTGTGTTTGTGGACATGGTTTGCTCCAATTAATTTGTCCTGCTTTTCAAGTACTAGCACAATGTTAATGTGTATCTATAAGAAATTCCATGACAATGTTCTTCCAAATTTTTCCTTCTTCTTTGATCTTTTAACCATTTCAATGTCGCCAACTTCAATTTTCCTTGGTTTATTGTGTATGTAACAAGATTACTTTGGTACTAATTTAGGGTCGAATCCAATTAATTCTATTATTTCAATGGCGTTTTCACAATTTTTAATCATCTTGCTTATGCCCAAAGACAGAGAACACATGAAGAAGAGATAATGAGCAGAAATAACCACCATCTATTTAACATTTTGAGTTTGGTTTTTCACTAAATAGTGTTGCCAAATCACTGATGTTATAACATATATTGTAACACGTAAATTAATAACATCACGTAAAGATAACACACAAAATTATTTTCAAGATGCAAATAAGCCCACCAGAAATTAAAGTCTCAAATATATTTTATCTGCAACCAACTTTAAATCCCAACTTCCTACCTACATTTTTTCCCCACACCAAGAAAAAGGTAATCATCTATTCAAGTAATTTCCTTATATAAACGAACGGTAATTTGTTTATAAAAGTCAGTCGCAGATCCTCATTTCCTTTATGTATATATTAATAGTAATATCGTTACACAAATCAGCTTTCATGTAATTTCCTTTTTAGCCTCCAATTTCCAAGCATTTGAGGCTAATGAAATCTTTTCATTTCAAAGCATTGCCAAACAAAAACTTGAAGTTGCCACAGTACGAAAATGTAACTAAAGAAAACTATCCATGAAAAGCATGATAAGACTATGATTTCTATTAATGATAAGGTCAAAATAATAATTTTCTTATTTTTTCCCCTTATTAAGCCTCATTTGACTTGCTTATTGCTTATTGAATTCCAAATTCTAGAGTAAAGGTATGAGCTTTTCATGAGCCTCAAGAAATTCATAAATTCAGAAAAATTAGAAAAGTTATGCGGATTTGTTCCCTCAGTATACCAGTGTAGCTCTGCCTAACAACACCGGGTGTTACAGTCTGCTCATGTTATAACATGTTTATATTTGTTGGTGTTACCGTAAAACACGATTATTACTCCGAATCCCAAATCGGAATTGAAATATTGTTCTATTCCAGAGTAGAACATAAGTCTTCTTGGAACCAAACAGCCGCGCTATTGACTGAGTCCACTAAGTCAAGCTGACTCCTACTTTACCACAAATAGAGGGCCCCAAAAACCCCAACCCGAGTCCAAAAAGACTTTTCTTCAATATCTTCGTCTCGATCAAGACCCCTCTCTCTCTCTCTCTCTCTCTCTCTCTCTTTCTCTCTCCTCTCGACGATTTCACGAACGACGCAATCCGATTGGTACGATCACTCACTCACTCACAGTTCTACTATTTTCTCTCACTTTGATTTCCTTTTAATCTTCGTTTTGATCATTAATTGAGGTTTTTAATCATGATTAGCTCTCTGCAAATTTTTACATGAGTTTTGTATGCTTCCAGTTTGTTCACATTTTTGTGATGAATTGTTTTTTGGTTTTTATAGTCTGATTTTCGCTGGCTGCCTCTTGATTGTGTTAAGAGTTTCCTTGGTTGTTTTCGTTACTGTTATGGATCTGTTTGGTTGCTTAGAAAATTTAGGCTGAAGAAATGAAAGGGGCTTTTTGAGTTGGTCTATGCTCTCAGTTCTTTTTTGGGTAGAAAATAGAAACAGTGCAAGCTTAAGAAGTTATGTTAAAAATGTGGGTTGTTTATTTATTCTTGTTAAGATTCCATATTCTCTGTGCAAGTTGATTTTGGAGAGTTCATAAGATTGTGGAATATCGTCCTTGAATATTCTCTGAGATCCTGAACTGTGTTTTCATCATGTAATTTTAATTAGACGAATATGCAGAAGCCAATAGTGATTGGTGATTGTTGGTCATAAGAAGAAATTGGTTGCTTTCCTTGGGTGTAGTATTTAGAATTGATTATGAGTTAAACTATCCTTTTACCTAAAATGTAAAATTTGTATTTGTGTCTAGCGCGGTGCTGTGTCAAATATGGAAAACTTGTGACATACAATAGTCTTCAAATACTAGACAAATTCAAAGATCTGATCAATGTATCACAAAACAAATCTACAATGAAACAAAACAGCAGTGACGTCTCTGTCTCAGATGTGTTGGCTTGTATCAACTGTCTCTTTTACTTTATTGTACTTCAGATGTCTTACCTTTCTTTCTTAAGTTTTGAATATTTGATTGCTTTTGAAGGAGTAGAAGATTTAATTGAGGGCATAATGGATCGAGGAAGGAGAGCAAATCAGGTACTAGTAAACAAAAACAGTAAGATATACATGGACCTCAAGGACATCGTTAGGGATCATGCCCTCCCATATCTTCCTGCTAAATCACTTTTCAGGTTCACTGGAGTTTGTAGGGACTGGAAGCTCGACATCCTAACTCCTTTCTTTGCCCACAAGCAGTCGAATTGTTTTTCTGATATCTCGGGCTTCTTTTATCAATCCAGAGCAGACCCACCTTCATTCATATCTCTTGACCGCAATGCATATGGTGTTCCAGACCCATGTCTGAAGTTCTTGCCTGAGCCAGTTGACATAAGGACTTCTTCCAATGGATTACTTTGCTGCCAGGGTCGTGATGGCTACAAGGCTTATTACATATGCAATCCTGTTACTAAGAAGTGGAAAAAACTTCCTAAGGCAAATGCTGATCATGGATCTGACCCTGCTATTGTTCTCATCTTTGAACCGTCTTTGCTGAACTTTGTGGCCGAGTACAAGCTAGTATGTGCTTTTCCATCCGTTGATTTTGACAATGGATATGAATTTGAGATTTATTCCTCCAAGGAGGGGTCTTGGAGAGTTTCTGGTGAGATTTACTTTGGCAATAAAACTCTCGTGCCAAGATCCGGTGTTCATGTGAACGACATAGTTTATTGGCAGGCAATGGGTTCTCAGATTCTTGTTTTTGACCTGAAGATGGAGCGCACACAACTCCTCTATGGCGATTTTTATGGCATGGGAGGATGTGCGGCCCTGGGTCTGATGGATGGAAAGCTTTGTTTGACAAAGGCTCAGTCTTCAGGATTAACTGTGAATGTATTGTCTAACGCCTACACAAACACAATGGAGATGAACAGCAAGGCCAGGACGTGGAAAACGAAACATCAGATCACTCTATCACCTTCACCCTTCGCTCCGGCTGCTGATCGCTTGTCTAGTAATATAATGTTTGCCAGTGGAAATGTGGTCTTGTTTCGCAGTGGCGGAAAACTCTATTCGTACAACCTGAAGACTAAAGAAACTCAATGCGTGGGTGATGAATTTGATTACGATGCGAGGATTGTCTCTCATGTGAACAGTCTTGTGGAGATCTAGCTGGCCTCTCTTGTGCCTTATTTTGCGGTTGTGCAACCACGAAGAAAATAACACTGGGTAGTTTTTATTAGATGGTTGTGTTTTGAACTAAGTAGTAAAGTTTCTCCATTTATGCTTGCTTAGAGCTTGTGTACATGGCCATCGAATTGTCCATGAGTCAACAGTCAACTGCTTATTTCTTCTTATTGGCTTCCTTTGTAGACCTGCCGCTTTACCTCATATGATATTATTGGGTTTAGAATTATATATATATGAATGGATAAATCCTTGACCCAAAACAAACAGAAAAAAGGTGGATAAAACCTTGAGGCATCATGATTTTGGGTTTTTAATTATTATTATTTTTATGAAAGATCATGATTGTTCATGAAGCGTAAAGCCAGTAATCATTAGCAAAGCTAAAACCTAGTAATTTTGTACGCATTTAAAGCTAATTTGAACCATAATTATTTAGAAATTAATACTATTTATTTAGCTTCCTATTTACTTCCTTCAAAATGGGATGCAATTCCAAAAAATTAGGCTACGAGATTATTGTGGAGAAAAACTTGGATTAGTAATTATCTGTAAGTTTTTTACTTCGTATTAATCACTTGGATTATGGAGAAGACTTGGTTGGAATCTAAAATCCAATATACAAGTTCAACAACCCGGTGCGAATCCCTTCACAAGCTTCAAACTTAAAACTTAAGCAACCTCTGACCTCGTCAAGACCTTGTTTCTCCGCCAACAGATCAATCTGAGGCGTACACGTGTCCAGAGAAACCCGACATAAACCATTGGAATTCCACGTGTCAAGACAACCCCCCGATACAAACAAACCATACGGCCTCGTTCGTGACTTTAAACTGCTCTCTCACTCTATAGACTTTTCAGTTCTAAGTCCTCTCTCTCTCTCTCTCTCTCTCTCTCTCTCTCTCTCTCTCTCTCTGTTGCGTTCATCGCTGCGTTCGATCACCGGCTTGCTCGACTCTCAGGTCTTCGAAGGTACGCTTCTTGCTATTGCTTCGTTGCTTTCTCTTTTGCCGAGATGAAAAAGCCCAACTCATTGGCAGAGTGCTCTTTTTTTTGTTTGGGTTTTTGTGGAAAAATCTTGAATCTTTATGGCTTGTCATTTTACATGCATGAGTCGGTTTTTTTTGGGGTTGCTTTCGATCGTTTCTAAGGGTTTTATTGTCTCTGTTTTATGGGTTTTGTTTGATCATTGTAGGGTTTATCTGTGTGTTTTGGATTTCGTAATTTAGAGAAAGCTCTCTGCTTTCGCTCTGTCTTTTATCCAATTTTCATGTTTTTACCTATGTTTTGATTTGTTTGGTTGCTGAGAAACCCAAAGAAACTGAAAGTATACTGGGACTTGATGCCATTGCGCTTTTGAATTTGAATTTCGAAAAAAATACCATTTGTTTCTACGAAAACAAGAAATGTATTTTGGATTTTTCTTTATGGGGTTTTATTATTGTTCTTCTTCTTCTTCCCAACCCCAGAATTTTAGAATTTTTAGAATTAGGATATAAGAACACCTTATTGAAGCAATCGAACCAAGGACTTGGGGTTTTTGTTATGATCTGATTTTGTTTTGTTTCTTTTGTGCCAAGCAACCTTAATTGAATACTAGGCTTTAATTTAGCTGCTGTTTAAACAGTTGTTCCCTCGTATTTGGCAGCAAAATTGTTCCGTGGTTCAAAGAAGCTTATGTTGCTTTCCTCTTGTTTAAAAGTCCTGATCTGTTATGGGTCTTGATGTTTGGGAAATTCAGTTATCTTCGAATGGTTATTAAATGTGTTCTAACCAACTTGATGTCATTGTGCAGTGTTGGTGAATTCTGAGGATTATATACCATGGATAATGATAAAGATGTGGGCAGTGACTCTGACTCTTCTTATGTCGTTGTGAGCGATAACACTTCTGCGGGTAGTGATTCTGAAAATTATGTAATTTTGGGTGATGAAAGTTATGTGGCTACTGCTTCTGTAGAAAATCTATGTGATGTAACCAAGCAACAGTTGAAGATTGTGGATACTGACATTTCTGTGGGTATGGATTCTGAGGAAGATCTATCTGATGAAAGCAAACAACAGTTGAAGAATGTAGATAAAGACAGTTATATGGATACTGATTCTGAAGGATATCTATATGATGAAAGCGAACCACAGATGAAGAATGTGAATAATAACTGTTATTTGGGTTCTGATTATGAAGAAGATATATTTGATGAAAGCGAACCACAGATGAAGAATGTGGATAATGACAGTTATTTGGGCACTAATTCTGAAGAATATCTATCTGATGGAAGCGGAGAAGTGTTGAAGATTGAGGATAATGGCAATTATGTGGGTACCGTAGTCCCTGTGCCTCTGTCAAGGATAAAGCGTTATTCTTTCAAGGTATGACATTTTTGTTTGGTCCTAGTGTTTGGTAGTGGCCGTATTATATATGAGATGAAGTTTTCATACTTTTATATTGCTCTGCTACTGTTTTGGTTAATTGATTGCGTATATGATATTAACGGTTAGTTCTTTCCTAAACAAGCATTCCTGGCTCCTGCAGATAGAACCAAATTAAGCAAACTGATAAGGTCCTATCCCCAGATTTCCATGTTTGTTTTGTTTATTGATGAATTGGAGGCTGTCATTGTTCATGTGATTAAATGTTCAAGTTTTTTGTATCTTTGTTTCTTTTCCCTTGATTTGCATCTTGATGAACTTTTTAATGTGCAGTTTCACACATATTCATATAAAAGAATTGGTCATATAGATGATTGTCCTGAAGACAGAAAGCATATTAAGAAAATGAACATCAATGATGCTGCAATGGAGTATGTTCTTCCTTTCCTCCCTGCCAAAATACTTTGCAGGTTGAGAACTGTTAGCAAACAATGGGATCAGTGGATTGGTAGTGCTTTCTTCAGTCACAAGCAAACTTACTACTTCAGGGACATCTCTGGTCTATTTTGTCAACCCTCTGGTGATTATCCTTTCTTCATCTCACTTGATCGTGATGCTTATGGCGTTCCCAGTTCTTCCCTCACTTTCTTGCCTAAACCAGTTACTGTAAGAACCACTTGCAAAGGTCTGCTATGCTGTCAAACCTGCGATGGAGAAGATACCTACTATATCTGCAACCCTCTGAACAAGCAATGGAAAGAGCTTCCCAAGCCAGTCTACTATCATGGGCCTGAATCTTTCCTGGCACTAGCCTTTGAGCCTTCCGTGCTTGATTTTGAAGCAAAATTTGAACTTGTCTGTGCCTTCTCTGTACCTGGTCATACGGGTGTCTATTTTGATATATTTTCTTCAAGGTCCAACTCTTGGGAACTGTCTGACGCAGTATGCTATGAGCTCAATGCTTTGGAGCTGAGTGGGAATGGGCTCTTTTTGAAGGGTGTTGTCTTTTGGGAAACATCAACTGGGCACATTCTGGCTTTTGATTTGAAGGAGAAGCAATATGGTATGATGCTACTCCCTCTCGGCAGCGGACCACAAGGTGTTATGACAGAGATGAATGGGGAGCTGTGCTACATTCTGCCTTGTGAAGATGACGACGGTCAGTACACCTTGGAAATCTATGGTGATATGTGCATGAACCTGAAGCGCAGGATCCATCTCATCGGTGAGGTTTTCAACCATGTTACTGAAGGGTTGAGGGCTTTGGCTTGTGTGAATGATGATGTGGTGGTAATTCTTCTTGGAAGGTACCTGATTGCTTATCATGTGAAAGCACGGGAGATTGAAACACTAAGAACTGTCTGGACCAATGCTGGATATGAAAGGTTTCTTCCATACGTGAACAGCCTTGTGGCGATTTAGTTGGTAAAGTTTTTGTTAGGTGGTTATGTTTGGATCTAAGTGGTAAAGTTATGTTTCGTCCAAAAAAGAAGAAGGTAATGTTATGTTTAATATTAGGCTTCTGTCCGTGGCTATGTAATTTCCTTTTGAGTTACTTCTCAACTGCTTCGTTGGCTTTGTGTATACCAGGTGCTTTGGTGCATCGAATGGTATTATTGGGTTTATAATAAATAATATTGGAGTGGATGCAACCTTTTCTTATTTGAGTTCCATGTATGCACTTTGTGCCTATGATATTCCATTTAGCTTTGGTTGTATAATGCAACTTGACGCAACTTGAAAAGAAAACCCACTAGACAGAAAGAAAAAAACAAGACATTTCACATTTGTATTGACTTGACCCCATACCAAAAAAGAGCCAAAAGGAAAATGACCGACCCAAAATGAAAATGATGGCTCATCTTGGAATCATCATTTCTCAACTTTATGGTTCGAGTACAAGCTTGTCACTTTCTGCATGCATGTGAACACAAAGGTAGCAAGAGAAAAACCCAATAAGTTGTTTATTATTTCTTTGATACAAGCGAGATTGGGAAAGAGACAATCGAATCTAAGACCTCAAATGCAATGTTCTTAATCACTTAAGCTATAAATCTAAGACCTTAAATACAATGTTCTTAATCACTTGAGCTACAAACCACTTATTTCTTCAACATAAACGAAAACAAAATGATTTGTAAGTGCAGTCACTCTTACACATGCCGCATGTATAAATAAACTTGTAGCTCACGTCACCCTTGATATCCACATTGCAAAGTATTCTCAGCTAGGCCAATACAAGTCAGCCACGTGTTCAAACACCATTGGAAGCCGATACAAGCCCTACTTTTATGTGCAGAGGAGTAAAGTACTGCGTACGTCATTTTAACTGCTCTCAACCGTGAACACAGAGCCTCTCTCTCTCTCTCTCTCTCTCTCGCGTGCGCGCGCTCTCTCGCGTTTAAGTTCAACCCAGCGTTTGATCTCCGGCGGTCTCTTAGGGCTACGACGGTAAGCTTCTCGTAGTTTTCTTTTTCAGGGTTTGATTAAAGCGTTTCGAAATTGCCGATACGCACATTGCTTATTTTATTGGAAATGCAAAACCCAACCCATCGGCGGATTGCTTCTCTGTTCTTTTTTCCTTTTCTTGTCGAACACTCTTGAATCTATAATGCATTTCGTTTCACTTTCATGAATGGGTTTTGTAAGAGTGTCAATTTCTCTGTTTTATGAGGTTTGTATGTTTTGGGTTTCTTGACAGACCGCTCTCTGTTTTCGTTCTGTTTCTTTTTTCTTTTTCTTCAAGCTTCTTATTTCTATTACCATTTTGGTTTGTTTGGTTACTGAGAAAGCCAAGGAAAAAGAAGGAAAACTTGGTCTCTAAGACATTGTCATTGTGTTTTGGGTTTGAATTTTATTTTTGGAAAAATTGCCAACTTGTACCAAGAAAACAAGAAACCCACTTCGGATGTTACTGATGGGGCTTTTGTTTCTATTCTCCTAATGGATTTTGGGTTTGAATTTGATTTTCGGAAATGACCCATTTTACGAAGAAAGAAAAAAACCCATTTTGGATTGTTCTTTGTGGGGTTTTGTTTCTTTTCATTCAAGATCTTAAATTATGGAAATGAAGATATCAAAATTTTCATTTCTGATTCTCCATACCTTATTGAAGCAATGAACAGAGCAGTAGACATTTAAATCTTCTTTGATTTCGGTAAGATCTCATTTTGTTATGTAGTTTGGTTAATTTCTTTTGCACCAAGCAACCGCAATTGAATGATCTAATTCTTTGAAATTTGATTTTGTTATGTCTCTTTTTAGACAGAAATGGCGACTTCTGTGGACAGTGAGCATAGTACTGGGAATTCTGAAGAAGGTGAACAATCTGATGACAGTGGACAAGAATATCCACCATCTCCGGTTCATGAGGTGAAGGTTGTGGATGGCTATGATGTGGTATGCCATTGGTAGATTTGACGCTTTTATTTTTAGATTTTTAATTTGTACTTAATAAAATAAATGGATGGTTGATAATTGTTGGTAGTTTGGCTTAAATTGTATTATGTGTGTCTGTGAGCTCTAAGAGAGCTCGAATGGGTATCTCCAGACCCTCAAGAATTACGCCGAACAGGTTGTTTATGCTTCTCTGCAATGTGTTCCCAATAGAAAATTATAAAAAAGAGTCATTCATGTAAAAGAGGGTCGCCAGATGAGTTTATGTGAATCGACGTTTCAATTATTTTTGGCAGATTTTCCTTTCATTTGCTTGGCGGTGCTTCTGTTATTTGTGCAGTATTGATAATCATTTTGCTTGAAGGTCTACATGTTGGAAACCATTTTGCTCCCCTTGTCTCTCTCTCTCTCTCTCTACTAATATTTTTATCATTTCTTCATCAGTAATCTGCTTTTCCTCTGACCAAATTTTTGTTTTGTTTTTCTATGGCAGTTTCACGGATCTCCAAATGACAGAAAAAGGATTGCTCTTGTTGTTGACTACTCTGAATTTCCTGGACCCAAAAGGTTCAAGCAGAACATAGAGATCAAAGATGTTGTAACAGAGCATGTTCTTCCTTTCCTTCCTGCCAAATCACTTTTCAGGTTCAGAGCTGTTAGCAAAGAGTGGGATGAGTTGATTACCAGTCCATTTTTCATTCACCAGCAATCTCATCACTTCCGGGACATCTCTGGTCTGTTTTGTCAACTCCCTGGTGATGCGCCTTTCTTCATGTCTCTTAATGGTGATGCTTATGGCGTTCCCAGTCCTTCCCTCAGTTTCTTGCCTGAACCAGTTACTGTCAGAACCAGTTGCAATGGTCTGCTCTGCTGCCAAAGCTGCAATGGAGAAAATACCTACTATATTTGCAACCCTGCTACCAGGGAATGGAGAGCGCTTCCCAAGTCAAACTTGTATCATGGCCCTGAACCAGCCCTAGCTCTAGCCTTTGAGCCTTCTGTCCTGAACTTTGCAGCACATTATCAACTTATTTGTGCTTTCTCTTTAACTGATCATCCTGTTATCTGTTTCGAAATATTCTCTTCGAGGTCATCCTCGTGGAGACTTGCTGACACAGAATGCTGTGAGCTAAATGCTTCGAAGCTGAATGGAGATGGACTCTTTATGAAGGGTGTAGCCTTCTGGGAAACTTCTGCTGGCGATATTTTAGCTTTTGATTTGAATGAGGAGCAATATGGTATTCTGTCACTCCCTCTCGGCAGCGGACCACATGGTGCTTTGGTAGAGATGCACGGGGAGCTCTGTTACATTCTGCCTCATCGAAAGGGCCATGAGTACAACCTGGACATCTATGGTGATATGGACATGAATCTGAAGCATAGTATTTCTCTTGATGGTGATTTTTTCCGCGAATTTACTGAGAAGATGAGGGCTCTGGCTTGCGTCAATAGTGATGTGGTGATAGTTGATATTGGAGGGATACTGATTGCCTATGATGTGAAAGCAGGGAAGGCTGAAGTGCTACGAAGTGGAACCAGGACTGATGATGGATATATGAGGTACCTTCCATATGTGAACAGCCTTGTACACGTGCATTAATCATACATGAGCAGCCTCTTTTCTGTGGATCCTACTGCCTAAGCCAAGCTAGCAAACTGGATTTTTTACTTTAGGATTAGATTGTTTGCAAGTGTAATTCCGAACTTCTTCTCAAACTCCTGACGAAGTTCTTATTTGAAACTTGTTTGAGGTCATAATCTTTGCTCAGGGTTTTTGGCTGCCTGTATGATGCAGGCCATGGAAATTTGATCGGACAATGATGAATGTTGAATGCTGAAATATTTCATTTCTTAAATCAAGTTTAAACACCGCCAAGATTCACATCAGAAAACAAATCAATTACGGAAATTTTGGTCATAACAGTATTGCGCTAAGTCATCGGCCCTATATGCAAACATACTAAACATCTTGTAATGATAATTTATACATGACAAAGATCGATTTCGTCCCAACCATAAAGAACATGATGTTATCTTTCCTTTTAATTTGAAAAAAGAACGGCAAATATATGATAAATATCTCGAGGATTACAAGATTAATTAATGGATTTTGTACCAGAAAAAACCGCGGAGGAGTGCATGAATCGAAGTTTTGAACTTTTACCATGGCGCGAGGGGATAACTGCTGAGTGGTATATACACGTTGGTTGCTATTCTTGGAACCTTCATATGCTGTCATTACTTGGTGCTGGTAGTAGCTAGGTTATGAAGTTGGTTAGTGTGCCCAAACCAATAGGATGTGATGTGATTTGCGTCCAAGTGTGAAGAGAAGCGCCCAAGGTGGAGGCAAAGTCTAAATTTGAAGGCAATATTTGTTGCTTGTGAGCCAATAACAAATGTGAAGCAAATTAAATGGGGGAGGCTCCAGCGAGGTGCCAATATGAGACAGAGGAACTGGTAAAAGAAATAACCAACACAATCTAAGTTAGGGGTGGCCGAGACAAAAACAGAGGTTTAGAGAGAGAGCTAAGGGTTGGTCCCTCCTTTGTAGGAGGCCATAATGGCAAGGACACACTAGAGTGCTCCTCCCTTTCTCTTTCCTTTGAGAAACCCTCCTACCCTATCTTCTTTCCATTGATCACCAGGTACCTTAATTATTTCGTTATTTCGTTCCGCCCTCCTGCATATCTTCTTCTCCGATCAAATTTTTTTTAAATTCGAAAAAAAAATTAATCATAATCTTTCGATCAATTAAACTAAAAACTACAGATGGGGTCCTGGAGGTCCTGGAGGGGAGACTAATGTTTGTTATCTCTACTTGGTAGCACATGTTACATGTACATTAATCAAACGTTACACATTTTCAATTTCTCTTCTTCTTTATGCATATGCATGCATTTAGGTTTGATTATAATTTGCTAATTAAAACTTAGTGTTGATTAATTATTATTGCTTTCAAATTGTTTTAGGGGGTCTTCAATCATTGAGGCGAGCAGTTACGGGAGAGGTGAAGTGGTACCTGGCCGGAGGTTGATCAAGAGACGAATAATGTCTTCTGATAGTGCTCCGTCCCCGGATCACTCTTCACCACCATCACCAGACTCCTCGTCGTCATCCCCGTCTCCAAAAGAATCCCCAAAGGAATCACCTCCCGCGAAACCGCCCTCGTCGCCACCACCATCCTCACCACCACCATCAGCACCGCCACCGTCATCGCCGCCTCCGTCATCACCTCCACCATCATCTCCGCCACCTCCAAAGGACTCGGCGCCACCTCCCAAGGGTTCCTCATCGTCACCTCCACCAAAAGCGGCATCCTCCTCGCCACCTCCGCCAAAGGAAGCGACCCCAGCGCTTCCTCCTCCAAAGGAGCAGGCGGCAAAATCACCGCCGGCTGTGCCGACACCTCCGGCGGCTGTTACTGAAGCAAATGATACGGCTGCCGCTACAACACCTCCACCCGCGCGTCCTAAGACTTCTCCCCCCGGTGCACCATCGCCGCCCGCAC